CAGAATCATGGGCCCACATCATGTACAGTACTTGACACTTAAAAGCCCCACAACAAACAAAAAAAGCAACCCGCCTTACAAGGCTCAGTTACAACAGATAACGCGATCCACCAAAGTTCTTCCTTCATTGAAAATCAAAAGCTTGCTTTTAAGGGGATTAGCATGTAGCCAACTGGCAGATAAAGACCAATGCATGAAAGAGATAACATAATCTGACTGTAGCAACTGAGCCAAAATGCATTAAAAATTAACTAAGATGAACTTAATAGTTTTTTTGATGACAGCGAGTTCAGGAAAGTTCTATGAATCCTTTAACCAGCAGTAAGTGTACAAATGTGAAAAAGAAATTAAGAGGTGGAGTATTAAACGACAGATAATTAATTCATGTAAGCAAAGAAATTGTATCCTGATGGCTAAACTGAAGATGTTAGCAGTAGCGTTGGCTTCAAACATATTTTAGATTTTTATATCATAAACTGTTCGATAAAAATAGCTGGGGCTGAAAACTTTCAGTACAAACAGAACGATTTATGTTTGATTTCTACACAGCCTTTGAAAGCTCCTCTGATGTGATGTTTTTTACAGTTTGGAGTTAATAGATTTCCTTCATAGCTGTAGTTAGACTACAATTTACAGTTTCAATGTTGGTATCCTTAAAATAAGTCCATACTTCATAACTGATACATTTTTGTTTCCATTTGACAACAATAATATGCTAAGAAAAAACAAAAAATAATACATTTTACACAGTTAACACTCTTTTAAAAAGACCAGAAAATAATTTAGAGAATAATTATGATTAACTGCTGCTTCAAATAAAATCCTACCAATTGCTAAGCAAGGATTATTCTGCAGATGAAAAAGGTTTATAAAGATTCTTATATGACCTGTACCATCACCCATCACCCAGCAATGTGCTCATCTCATCCCAAATGGAAGATTAGATGAGTCCTGATCAAGTATTTCACCTTTATTAATGTGACCTTTTTTTTTTTATCCGGGAAGTCTCATTGAGAGAAGAAAAAAAAGGCCAAAGTCATTTTTAAATAGTATTGGGGATTTTTTTGTTTTTTTTTGTTTATGTATTTTCAATCTACCCTACTCACAATGTGCCACATTGTCACACAGTTTAAAAAAGAAAACAGCCTCTTATTGGGTGCAGCACTTCCAAGACTACATTATAGATCTGACAGTTCATTTTAGCAGATCAAACGAATTAGTATTTTTCAAGCTTTAAAAAGCTATTCACAGTGAAAAAGAGTCAGTATTGGCTGCAGTTTTTCAACATGACCTGATCATAGCACTGTAGTTAGATGGATGCCAAGAAAAGCTGCAAACAGTACAACAAAAACACTAAGTTTTGAAATGCTCAAAGCAACATGTTCGTTTAAAAACGGAAAAAAATAGAAGAATAACCTTTTTTTCTAGGTTTCGTCTGTTTAACCACCAACTGACTCAATGTCGAAATATATTTCAAGGTGATTTATTAACAAAAGTGTTTAAAACAGTTAGGAAAGATGAAGCCAGCAGGACTATGACTTAAGTTTATTGAGGACAATGGTTGTACGTGCGACGCAGACATGTCTTGAGAAACATAACATTTGCCCATCCTGTTGGGTCAACATATCTGCCACTGCCAAGAAACACAGAAACTGCTGTTTTGAGAATGCCACTGGTGAAGAAAAGAGGTAATACTGATTAGGTAATACTGACAAACGACAGTAGAACCACAGTGATTTGTTGTGGCTGAGACTCATATTTGGATACATGTTTATGCTAATATTATGGGGCATTTGTAATCTCCATGTCAGCTAAATATATTCTCATCTTAGGTACTTTATTTAAAAGGCCATAAGGCTGTTAAAGCATGATGTCATCTGAATAGTTTTTGGCATATATCCTGTCTTCAGGTCTGCTTATGCCATGTGAAGACACTAACAACTTTCCCACCAATATATGATTATCAACTGATGTCTTTTGGCTTTCATGTTTTAATTATCATTAATAAGTTAAGACAAAAGGGTATGATTACTTTAGGTATGTTTTCCCTGGGTAGGCTTTTTTTTCTGGTTTTATTTCTGTTAATCAGTTTGAGGGTAAGATAAGGAAAGTTCATGCCACCAGGCTAAATCTCCCAGTTGGAGATCATACAACAATTTGCTCTTGTGATAACAGCATTTCTAATCTAATCACATCGACACATACATCAGCTACAAATGCAACATAAAGAGGTTATTTTTTTAAAAGTGCCTGGAGCGAATCCATGATTTTTTGTTTGTTTTCTGCCAAAACTCTGTGGCAGATTGGAGTCAAACAGCCTCTATTAAATGTTGAGTGGCACTTGGCTTTAGGCTAGAGAGTGTTTCCCTCAACAGCGAGGACAAAGAAAAACAGGAATAGGATTAACATAAAACCTAAAGTGGTTACTTGCAAGTTTAGCTGCAAGAAAGACCAATGTTCCACTGGTACTCAGTTTTTCTTTTTTAGAAATAAAGTGTTATGTGTTGCAAGAAGGGATGGAGTTTTGAATTGAACTTAAAATGAAGCGATAAGCACCAAGCGAACAGTGTTAAAAAGAGCCTTCTTTTCCTCTTTTTATGGCACAGTCAGTGGCTCAAATCTGGGGACAGCAGAATGCACTTAACTAAGTGAGTAACACAATGCTGTGTCACACACACACAGTTTCACAGTGGAGAAGAAGATTGCTGCCTGCATCCCTAATGGCCTAAAATAGATTCTTTAATAGAAAACATGACAGGCTGGCCCTGTTGTCTGATTAACTATTAATGACATTTCTACCACTGTGGAAGGCTGATCTCAGTCAGATTCACGTTCCTTTGGTTAACGATAAGTCTCCATGGTGGGAGGACAACTTAATCCAATGCATAATTCATCAGAGAAGAAATTGATCTATTTTGTCAGCTGATCAGTGTGTAGAAGGTTTTTAGCATATTTTCCTATATTTTAGGGCTTATTACTAATTTCATATTTTATCAATCAAAGCAATAAACTATAAAATATAAAAAACTCTTTGTCCTAGGTCAATAAATAAATAAATAAAACAAAATAAACTGTATGATCTGGTTGAACTGTAAAGTGCCTTGAGATGACATGTGTTGTGAATTTGGCGCTATATAAATAAACTGAATTGAATTGAATTGAATTAAAAACTAAGATGCTGCAGTGATTAGATCTAAAGCTAGACACTTACTTCTGGTGGAAAATGCTGTGATGGCTTGTTAAGCACAAATGCAAACTTTCTAGTCTGTTTAAGTCAGCTTAATCCAAAGGACAGATTCAAAGGTCAGAAATGACCAAACCAGTGAAGGATATTGTCTGAAATATTAAAAGATTTATGGACGTATAAAAATACAGCTGCTGTGGTTCAAAATCACCTTCAAATGATGGGTGAAAAAAAAACCTTAAGATAAATGCTTATATACAGTACATAGGCAGCAATGGTAGAAATCAGCATCTGCAGAAAAAAAAACATCCAAAAACAACCTATTGTCAGCCTATAAGCCTTTCCTCTTCTCCTGGAAAACTATAAAATGCATCTATACTGTAGTTCTGCTTTGTCTCTTTTGTTCATGAGTCAGTGTGAGTTTGCCGTTGCTGAAATGGCTATAGCATAATGTCTTGTTCACAACTTTAGGCATTGTCTGGTACAGTGACAGTTTATGCATAAAAGCTGCATGAGAAAGGAACAGAGTTCAAATATATTTTTGAGAAAACTAAGAATCCCATTTTCTGATTTTAGCTGTTGCTTGAACCAGTCACATTCCTAACTTCAAGACTTCTAATCAGAATACTTCTGACCAGGTTTCTGTAAATATTTCGAGCTAATCTTAATGTGAAGGTGTCTCCACTGTCCAAAAAGAAAAAAAAAAAATTCTAAACAGAACATAGGTTTCATAAATCTCAAAAATTTAAAATTCTTAACATTTTTTTTTTGAGTGGAGAATAATCCTAATCAGCTTTGGTCAGTCCGGTATTTTATGTTTGGACAACAGATGACAGCATATTTTAGATCTTTAGAAAAACAGTGATACATATAGCCCTTAAGATTTGGTGCAGGACAACTAGCTGTTGTGCATGGCCATATTTACTTACAGTGTTTAAACTGTGCTAAACATGGGAGGCCGCATCATTCCCAAATACGTACTGACAAGCATTACACTCAATCTGGGTGCAGCTGACAGGATGGGACGTCTTCACCTCATGCCAAAAGGGGGACCCTGGACAGGGAGCAATTCTATCCAGATCAAAACTCCCACTGGTCTGGATTATGAATGATTTCACGGGAAGCATTACCTCATTTTTCTGTTCTAATTCCCAAAATGTGACATATATTAATACATTTTCTTGACATACCATCATGTAATAAGAACAATCATTGTTTTGTTTATTTTTCTAACTTTAAATAAAAATATATTGAACTTAAGATGACATATTATAAGCAAAGGGGAAATTAGATGGCATGTATAAAGGAAAAGAACAATGGAAGAAGCTGTGAACAAGGCAAATTTATGTTGTTTGAAACGATTGGCTGTAAAAATGCTAGAAACTGCCCAGTCAGAGGAGGAAGTGCTGAGACACAGCAATGCTTGAGGCCCATCCTCCTACTTCCCCTTTAAAATCTGTCTCTTCCTCCCCGCCGCATTGTTAGAGTCAGCTGCAACAATCAATTCCTCAAGTCTAACTGAGTCAGCAGTTTTCTGTCTTAACTGCAAAATTGTGCTTAGGAGTCCATGTCCCAAAAGTGTTAAGGCTTTTTAAATCTCAATACCACACTTTTTTTTTTTTTTAGGTTCCAATGAGCTATAACAATAAAGTTTAACAAGATGAATGAAGAGATGCAAAAGCATTATTAAAGGTTTACATATCCACAAATAAGCACAATCAAGGTAATTTCAAAATATGTAGACAAAAGTTTAAAAGAATTGGCCTGGTATTGGTGTTTTTCCCCAGCTCACCAGATATGTTCATCCTTTTTAGTAAGAGAAGAAAGGTTCTCAAAGCATCGCATCATGGTTGAATTAAACTGTTAGTCAGCTAAATTAGAAGGATAATCACTGCATTTTATAGTTGTTTTCTTTTTAATCAGCTGCAGCTGTCGATATGTCGTTTTAGACTGAAATACAGGCTAGCTTAAATTTTATGTACTGATATTTTAAAAAAAAAAAAAAAACTAAATTAAAAAAAGGTCAGTTGTCTATGCAAAACCCAACCATAACGCCAGTGCAATGTGAACCTAACTTCCATAATGACTCCTTGTTTATCCTGTCAGCGGGAGCCACTACAAAAGAGAAGACAGCATCATTGTTAGCTATAGTTAATGAAGCCATAAGGTCACCACAGCAAGCAGAGCTGAAAGGCCCAAGGTGGAGCCAAAGGAAGCAGATATAAGCTTTCCCTCATTCACCAGCCTGAAGGAAACAACTTCCACCTTGAATCCATCCTCCGTGGCCATGCAGCGGAAGACACCTTCCTTTAAGGGGGTGTCAACCACTGGGCCCAAGACACAGAAGTCTCCAGAGAACAGGCATGGGTAGTTCTTGATGCAGTTATCCTTCTCCCAGCGGTAGGTGGCGTGGAAGGAGTGAACAGGGCAGGGCAGAAACACGGTGGTATTTTTTCCTTTTATCACAATCTCTCTTGGAGAAGTACGACGCAGCTTTAGTGCTGAGTAAAAAAAAGAAAGAGACGTCTTGTTAATAAGTAAAGCAATCCTATTAGTACAGGTGCTGGTCATAAAATTAGAATATCATGAAAAAGTAGATTGATTTCAGTAATTCCATTTAAAAAGTGAAACTTGTATATTATATTCATACATTACATACAAACTCATATATTTCAGATGTTTATTTTGTTTAATTTTGATGATTACAAATGACAACAAATGAAAATCTCAAATTCATCATATCAGAAAATTAGAATATTACTGAAGACCAATAAAAACAAAGGATTTATAGAAATGTTGGCCAACTGAAAAGTATGAAGATGAAAAGTATGAGCATGTACAGCACTCAGTATTTAGTTGGGCCTCCTTTGGCCTGTATTACTGCAGCAATGCGGCGTGGCATGGAGTCGATCAGTCTGTGGCACTGCTCAGGTGTTATGATAGCCCAGGTTGCTCTAATAGTGGCTTTTAGCTCTTCTGAATTGTTGGGTCTGGTGTATTGCATCTTCTTCTTCACAATACCCCATAGATTTTCTATGGGGTTAAGGTCAGGAGAGTTTGCTGGCCAATTAAGAACAGGGATACCATGGTCCTTCAACCAGGTACTGGTAGCTTTGGCACTGTGTGCAGGTGCCAAGTCCTGTTGGAAAATGAAATCTGCATCTCCAAAAAGTTGGTCAGCTGCAGGAAGCATGAAGTGCTCTAAAACTTCCTGGTATGTGGCTGCGTTGACCCTGGACCTCAGAAAACACAATGGACCAACACCAGCAGATGACATGGCACCCCAAACCATCACTGACTGTGGAAACTTTACACTGGACTTCAAGCAACGTGGATGAAGTGCCTCTCTTCTTTTCCTCCAGACTCTGGGACCTTGATTTCCAAAGGAAATGCAAAATTTACTTTCATCAGAGAACATGACTTTGGACCACTCACCAGCAGTCCAGTCCTGTTTCTCTTTAGCCCAGGCAAGACGCTTCTGACGCTGTCTGTGGTTCAAGAGTGGCTTGACACAAGGAATGCGACAGCAGAAACCCATGTCTTTCATACGTCTGTGTGTGGTGGTTCTTGAAGCACTCACTCCAGCTGCAGTCCACTCTTTGTGAATCTCCCCCACATTTTTGAATGGGTTTTGTTTCACAATCCTCTCCAGGGTGCGGTTATCTCTCTTGCTTGTACACTTTTTTCGACCACATCTTTTCCTTCCCTTCGCCTCTCTATTAATGTGCTTGGACACTGAGCTCTGTGAACAGCCAGCCTCTTTAGCGATGACCTTTTGTGTCTTGCCCTCCTTGTGCAAGGTGTTGATGGTCGTCTTTTGGACAACTGTCAAGTCAGCAGTCTTCCCCATGATTGTGTAGCCTATAGAACTAGACTGAAAGACCATTTAAAGGCTTTTGCAGGTGGTTTGAGTTAATTAGCTGATTAGAGTGTGGCACCAGGGGCCATCAATTTTGAACCTTTTCACAATATTCTAATTTTCTGATATGATGAATTTGAGATTTTCATTTGTTGTCATTTGTAATCATCAAAATTAAACAAAATAAACATCTGAAATATATGAGTTTGTATGTAATGTATGAATATAATATACAAGTTTCACTTTTTAAATGGAATTACTGAAATCAATCTACTTTTTCATGATATTCTAATTTTATGACCAGCACCTGTAATAGTAAAGCTCCTCTGTTAATACAAGAACACTGCAAATACAGTATAAAGCAATTTAAAGCATCACAAATGTAGTCACAGAAAATCAATAAAATGTTAGTATCAGACAAAAAAAAATGAACCTAAAAATACAAATAAATTGTTGGTTCTTTAAAAAGGCAACAGATTTCCTACAGCGGATATATAGGCCTATATAATAACATAGGTTGTGTTTTATTAAAAGGTCATATATAATATGTGGCTCTAAGCAACTTTTATTTAACTGAACTCGGGGCAAAGGAGCTCTCTGGATTTTTTGTTTTTTTATTATTTTTTTCCTCTGGATTTTAAAGGGGTTTGCTGTCATAATGTAGTACATTATAGTCATGAAAATACCACAAACTCGCAAAAAATGTGTCTGTTGGAGTCAAAGAGTTTTTGAATTTAGTTTCAGAAAGACCAACACACACTGACTGAATTTTTTTCTATGATGTTTCTGTTTTTTATCTGCACATTTGTACTGGTTTCTCTTTGACCAAAGCAAAAAATGAATTACAGTCTCAAGCTCCTTTGAGCAACAGTTCATCCAAACTTAAGATTTTCCACCACAACCACCACATTAAGTTATTCTGATCATAAATTTTGGAGAGAAAAAAACATATCAGGTGATAAAAATGCATCTCCATACTTTCTTAGGAGTAAACAAGGATATGAAATATTACAAGCATGAAATAAAATTAAGACTAAAATATGAAGAATCTATCTACATCTCTAGAAAATAAATATGAGAACTACAGCATATGTTTCTCAAAGCTTAATTAAAAGGGAAATCACAGCAATAAGCATCAAGTCCCAGAAGATGTATGTATCATATACATTTAAAAAAAATAAAATTACATCCCCAGCTGAGAAAAAAATGTGGACATTTTTAGTCACTGTGACAATAAAAATGCTACTAAAGTAGGGGTAAAACCAGCAGCTGTTGCTATTGACACATACTGACTCAGATCATCAGTACATGTAATCTCATCTATTAAGCAGGGATTTCAAGAGATTACTACGGTTAAAGCAGGAAGATCAAACCAATACTTAATAAAAAGAATTAATAAAAAACCTCCAAAGAAACTGAAGTCTGATTGTCAACAGGGATGTGTTTTGGGATAGAAAGACCAAATTATATCAGAGATTATGAACTCCAACCAGTGACACCACTTGAGACAATTGCAATGTTAAACATCTGATACACTGAGTGCCTTTAATTGTTATGTAAAGTAAAAATTGCCCTGGGTTATAAGCTTTGAAACAGGGCAAGTCATGAAATAGAAAAATGGTTTGGACACTGCTCAATTATCTGATATCAATCTTTTTCTTATGTTTCTTTTCAGCTGAAGTTGCAGAGCAATGCAACCACTTTGGTTTAATTAAGACAGAGAGAGGGTGGGGGAGTGTAGATAAGGGCTCACCAGCAGCCTCCTCACAAACGGAGGAGTTGGAACTGTCGAGATTCTGAATAAGAGTTCTGTGAGGATAAAATGAGATAGAGACAGAAATAGGAGCATACAATTATTTCACAAAAGGGCTAATGAATCATGCTGCCATTTACTTATACATTAAAATAAGTGAACCTAACCATTCAGGAAACCAGAGAAAATATAACAAATTATTAAAAGGATAACTCTTTACTATTATTTCATGTTTTAAAAATAAATTAATGTATGATGGCTTAGCGTTTTATAACTGCAATGTTTGTTTTATTTTAACTATCTCATTATGGCGACTATCAAGCAGGTGATATACAGTAAAAATTTTCCCTGAAAGTCTTCAAATCTGTTAAAAAAAAATGCTTAATAAGCTCCATCTCTTATTCTATTGATTGCATTTAAATGAGCCAATAGTGCTGCAGCAGTGACATCATATCTAAACTTACCCAGTCGTGACGTTGTATCCAGGCGGGATGGCGATGCACTTCCTCCTGGCCTTGTCCCAGCCACAGTATGGATCCCTGGAAAGGATGCACTCCCTGCACGTGTTGCCATAGCGGCTGCAGTCAGCCAGCGGCAGTCGCTGCACCTCCATGGCTGTACCGACATACAAGTGACCCTATGGGGAGAAAAAACACAGTCAGCAATTTAGTTTTCCTACATCATCAAACTTAAGCTCATTCTATGCTACATTCTGCTACTGCAATAAAATGTAAATGTCTTACCTATAGATGTTAAAGATATTGTTAAAAATGACTAAAGCAATAGTATATCCCAAGTTTATTTGGTCAATTCAGTCTAAATATCCATTTAAAAAACTCTTGGTTTTGTAGTTGAATTTGTTTTATTCTGACAATTTATTTAATTTACGACCTCAGTACATTTACTACTGCCACTTATTATTTTGTGGGCATGGTATTAAAAATCAGATTTGTAAGTTTTTATATAACTGTTTCCTTTGAACTTGCCTGTTTTGTTTTTATTCAGTGATGATCAATAACATCCATTCAGGTTACCGCTGTAAATTATTCTTGCAGAAGCATTAGGTGTAGTATCCCCTATGGTATGATTCTATTTTATTTGTCTGTAGTATTTTATCATTAAACATGAATTATTAGATGTTTCACTCACATTTATCATCTCTAAAACTGAAATGGTTTTCTCCTTTTTCACTTTGGTTGACAGAATCAGGTCACATCGACACACAGAGATTAATATAGAAAATATTTTCCTTGCTGAATGTTTAAAACGTCTCCTGGAGCTGTTTCTTTTCTTGTTTAAGACAGAGTATTATTAAAGATTTAAAGCATTATGCTCCTTAAATACACCTTTGCCATACATTAAAGAAGCTGTTGTACCTTTTGTGAGTCGATGGCCATATTTAGAACAGGTCCTTCGTTGTGGAACAGAGAGTACTGAGATATGATGAAGACGTCCTGGATGGTATGAAGGACCTTGAGGACTTTGCCCTGATCTGCAGACATAAGGAAGCAGAGCACACTTTAAATAGATGATCTATCTGGAGACCTTTTGAACACAACCGAAAAATATGTTGATATCACTCCGATGTTGCAATTTAATGGACTGAAGCAAAGATTTACATCAATAACAAACATTCCAATATATAATTGTATACCTTGGATTACAGCAACAAATGAGATTTGAAAGTCTCATCCCGACCTCTCCCCAGCAGCACTACGGCACATAATCAGTCTGAAAGAAGTTTTTATTAATTTAGACTATGTAACGTTTTAAAAACCACTTAATTTCGCATACCTAAATGAGGAATTGTAAGCCTGAATTACATGTGTGATACATCATTTGAAAGCTAACACCTACTGGTAAATATAAATTAAAATATTGTGACTATGACACAGCCTAAACTGCATCAGTTCAAACATGACTCAAAGTTGTTTTTCTTCTCAAAAACAATAGGTCTTATTTGAACAGCAGTAACAGAGAACATGCTTGGAAATAGGCATGTCTCATTGTATTACATTTCTTCTACATCATGTCAACCACAACTGCAGACTTCTAGGTATAACAGTTCCAGAGCTGTGGGGTTTTGAACTTTTGGTGTCTCCAATATTTCCAAATCTCTCCAAATGTGCCAGATTGTGCCAAAATGTGCCATTACTTACATGTTTAACATCATGATGTAAATGCTGTAAAAAATGTAAGTTCGTATGCTTACTTTCTCAGAAACTTTGAGGTAATTGGTTCCAAACATTCAGAGAATTCTGAGCTTATTTGGGTTTGGAGTGTAGAGTAAGATACACTATATTGCCAAAAGTATTTGCTCACCCATCCAAATTATTGGAATCAGGTGTTCCAATCACTTCCATGGCCACAGGTGTATAAATTCAAGCACCTAGGCATGCAGACTGTTTTTACAAACATTTGTGAAAGAATGGGTCGCTCTCAGGAGCTCAGTGAATTCCAGCGTGGAACTGTGATAGGATGCCACCTGTGCAACAAATCCAGTCGTGAAATTTCCTCGCTCCTAAATATTCCACAGTCAACTGTCAGCTGTATTATAAGAAAATGGAAGTGTTTGGGAACGACAGCAACTCAGCCACGAAGTGGTAGGCCACGTAAACTGACGGAGCGGGGTCAGCGGATGCTGACGCGCATAGTGCGAAGAGGTCGCCAACTTTCTGCAGAGTCAATCACTACAGACCTCCAAACTTCATGTGGCCTTCAGATTAGCTCAAGAACAGTGCGCAGAGAGCTTCATGGAATGGGTTTCCATGGTCGAGCAGCTGCATCCAAGCCATACATCACCAAGTGCAATGCAAAGCGTCGGATGCGGTGGTGTAAAGCACGCCGCCACTGGACTCTAGAGCAGTGGAGACGCGTTCTCTGGAGTGACGAATCGCGCTTCTCCATCTGGCAATCTGATGGACGGGTCTGGGTTTGGCGGTTGCCAGGAGAACGGTACTTGTCTGACTGCATTGTGCCAAGTGTAAAGTTTGGTGGAGGGGGGATTATGGTGTGAGGTTGTTTTTCAGGAGCTGGGCTTGGCCCCTTAGTTTCAGTGAAAGGAACTCTGAATGCTTCAGCATACCAAGACATTTTGGACAATTCCATGCTCCCAACTTTGTGGGAACAGTTTGGAGCTGGCCCCTTCCTCTTCCAACATGACTGTGCACCAGTGCACAAAGCAAGGTCCATAAAGACATGGATGACAGAGTCTGGTGTGGATGAACTTGACTGGCCTGCACAGAGTCCTGACCTCAACCCGATAGAACACCTTTGGGATGAATTAGAGCGGAGACTGAGAGCCAGGCCTTCTCGTCCAACATCAGTGTGCGACCTCACAAATGCGCTTCTGGAAGAATGGTCAAAAATTCCCATAAACACACTCCTAAACCTTGTGGACAGCCTTCCCAGAAGAGTTGAAGCTGTTCTAGCTGCAAAGGGTGGACCGACGTCATATTGAACCCTATGGATTAGGAACGGGATGTCACTTAAGCTCATATGTGAGTCAAGGCAGGTGAGCAAATACTTTTGGCAATATAGTGTATAACAGATTTTAGTGAAAGTGTGTTAATGTTTAAACATAAGAATGAAAGTGCTTACGTACTTTAGTAGAATAAAGAAAGCATTCTTAATTTCGCTGTTTTCAAAAAACCAAACCAGAAATTATCCCAAAATAAAATTCAGATGTGAAATATTCCCTAATTTATCACTATATTTGGAGAATCATATTCTCATTCTTATTGAATGTTTTTAATGTAAAGTTTTACTTATACTTATACATAAAGAGTTTCAATTGTCGTCAATGTCATTTTGGAAGGAAAGAAAACTACTAATGTTGCACCAAAAACAAAACAGGAAAAGAAAATGTCCGCAGTGTGGAAGTATTTCCTTAAAGAAATGCCTGCGAGTACATTGGCTAAATGCAAGATTCGTTACCAGAAGGTTTCGACAGGTGGAGTTAAACCGGGGCAGTTTCAATACCTCAAACCTGATCAAAAATTTGAAGTCGAAACATTTGAACGAACACAAAGAGTTCAAGACTGCCAAGAGAAACCGGGAAGAACCGTAGCAACAGACCTTGGTCAGTTCACTTCGTGGGAAAGAGCAGTGGGACAAGAATAGTGAAGCAATAAGACAGATGTTTGAGAAATTATTATTATTATTATTATTTTACATCCAATTAGTATGCAGCCCTTCATATATACACACATACATCAATTTCAAATAGATATTATCGGTATGGTATCAGCTAATACTGTACAGCCAGGTATCGGGTATCAGTATCGGGGCAAAAAAATGGCATCAGCGCAATACTAAAAACTAGGGGTGTCAACAATAATCGATTCAGCGATGCATTGCAATGCGGGGCATGCACGATTCAGCATCGATGCGGCAACGTGCCATAATCAATTATGTCACTGTTTATTTTCTGGCCTCAAATGGACAAGTTGTGAAGTTTCAATTAGTTCCGGGGGCATACCAACAACAATCAAGATGGCTGAGGTGGAGGGAGATGACCGCGATAGACGGGTAGGCCTAATTAAAAACGCACCAAAAGCTTGGAAAGCGGATATCTGGGCACTTTTCGGATTTTACGAAGTCAATGGGATTTTGATGCATCGCTATGCATCGTAGAATAGAATTGAATCGAATCGTTACCGGGTGAATCGTAATCGAATCGAATCGTGAGGGCAGTGCCAATGCACACCCCTACTAAAAACTACCACTGAAGAGTCAGGCTGTTGGTCCAGTCAACCTGCAGACCTCAACCTCATTGAAATAATACTGACTCAACTTTATGTAACCTTGGAATAAGAATCTCTTTCATAAAGCCTGAAAAGATTTCTTAAATTACTGTAAAATGTCTCTATAACAACCCAGAAGACTCATAAAATCTAAATCCACTACTTTGAATAACACTTTTAACTAACTTTTGAACTCCTGGGAATACTTCGTTTTTCAAATATAAAATTACACTGACTAAAGGTCTCTTCTACCCCTTGGCTGTTTATTCTGATGCATCTTTCAAAAATGTAAGCAAGCTGGTAGAAGCACATTGTCACTCTTCACAACGCAATGACAAGGGAGCTGATTACCAAGAAACTCATTTAGTGGCCCGCCGTTTGGACTGTAGGTTCCGCTCTGCTGCGTAGCCTCAGAGAAGAGGCAAGATAATCAAATATATTCCTGCTACTCGATTAAATGTCTGAGTTGGTTCTGTAGCTAATTTGACTTTATGCCAGTTTGTGTTTTCGTTACCTGCCTCCAGCATTGATTGTAATGCTGCATCAATAATACAGCCCTGTGACAAGGATAGTATCAAGCTTTATTTACTCCAGATGGAAAAACGAGGTTTTGTCTGCTTTTAAAATAAAAATCTAAACAGTTCAAATAGATAAAAAGATAACAGCTGAAATTCCAGACATGACTGTAGAGCTTTACACTGCTATAGTCAATAGTGCATGAACCCTCAGTTTGAAGGATGATGAGTCACTACTTTCAGCTATGAGTTATTACTTTTTACTTCACTACTAACTGAGCAGCCATGGCTCACCCCGTTTACAGCATCTCACTCACCACCGCTGGGGTCTCCCTGTAGGTTTTAAATACTACAAGTCATTTTTCCTTTTCATTTCTTAACAGAGCTGCTTTTTTATTGCTTACAAACAAGTTCCTACTGTCCAGATGACAAGTTGTCAACTTGATAAGTTTGTTGTTACAGTATGTTCCAAAATGTGTTTTTTTGTTTGAGACATAAAGGCTTATTTTATCTCCTCTGCTATAAAAATGTGAAAGAGTTATGGCTTTTATTGCATCTCTTCATTTCCTGAGTACTTTGTCTGTGTGGCACTATCTCATTTAAAATCAGACCATTAGAGTCTTGCTGTCACTTGATTTTCTATTGTCTGTTTTTTTCATGGACTTCAAATCCTGTGTTGTCAACGATAACTTTCTCAAATCCCCTCAGTTTGCTCTGATGATTCTTTAATCTAGTCAGCAGCTATTTTCAGCTCTTTCATCAAACCAGTATATCAGCAAAAAAAAGACAAAACTCAAGGGGAAAGGGTGACAAAGCTGAACTACTGTGACATCTGCTGGGTAGACGTGTATTAGCTATATTTATCCTAGCAGGATCTGCTGAAAGAACATGTTCTTCACTTTACCTTTACAATTATACAGTGAAATTATTATTTTTTTAAGTCTTAATTGGCATACTAAGACCCAGGTGGAATCTTTCCAAAGGCTGACAGCAGCATTTCCTTATTTTGCAGGAAAAGTGAGTTTTACTTCCCTCAACCTTGATATTTTTCCCATCATACATTTTGGGAGGCCAGCTGGGCCTCTAGTCTGACTCTCTAACCACACTGCAGAAAAAGGAATATGACTTCTATCTCAAATATGAAGTCAAGCTGAAACAGATATATGACTCTGACATTTGTTCCAACCCTTAGGGAAGCTTCTGCTGTAGCACCTTCCAGGCTGAAACACTAA